GGTACTAATCATCACATATCAATGAATGTTTATACATGAATGCTGTAGGACAATAGACAGACCTGGATAATTGTGGGTTAAAATCTGTACATATTAATCACCCAATTTGCATAATTAACCAATTTTAAACTTTCACACTGATATCTAAAGTACTAATTATTCCATTTTAATGAAACTTAGTACAAAGATGCGAGACATTCATCATACATAGGACAATGTACAAACCTAATTAGTTTGGGGTAAAAATCTGTTTATATTAATTCCCTAATTAGCATAATAATTCATAATTTTTTGGTTCTAATCACATTTCAATTAAACTTGGTACATAGAGTTTTTGTTACGTTGCGCAGACCTCATTAGTTTTACACTCAAATTTGTTCATATTAATTTTCTGATTTGCATAATTAGTTTTCAGCTAAGTAATTTCGAATTATATTTAATGTGTCTCCAATACTCTCAGCACATGGGAGTTCTTTCTAAGCTTTCTTTGATTTAGTATGTCATCGTTGGAGGATGCAAATGTTTAACAGTTTATTGCATGGAAAGAAATATAAATTTGTTGTTTATTTTTTGCAGTCAGAAGATGAAGCCATGGCACGAGCCTTACAGATGTCAATGGCAGATTCTCAGCAACCGAAACAAGCTGCACCAAAGAAAACGTAAGTCAGTATACCGGTAATCAGAATGTAAAGTCTGTAGTGGTATCCTAGTAAGGGTACATATCTACATTTGATCGTTTGGTTAAATTCTCACAGAAAGTGAGTACTGTAGTGGGTGGCACTATCACCATGTTAGCTTCTCATTGAAGATGCTGAGAAATTCAGTAAAATGCAGAATACTTACTGTATTACAGAGAAACTGTATATATTTGACATTTAAATCTCATTGTGTTTTTCTTCTCAGTTTAACTCGGCAAGAACAAGATGACCTCGCCTTGGCGCAAGCGTTAGCTGCCAGCGAGGCTGAACACAGAAGAGAACAGCTGAGACGAAGACAGGTAAACAAACTATATCAACCTGAGATCACAAGATGGAATATCAAGACTGACGGAAACTAGATTAAACCACAAAATCTCATCGATGTATTTAAACAGGGTTTCATTACTGTACTGCCCTCTATGGTCAACTTTGTTTATGATTACTCAATGTAATTCTTGACATTTCTGTCAAGATGTAAAAAAATTATTTGTACTGTATATTTTTTTAAATTAGTGTTTGAAAATCATGTTTCTCATCAACAAATTGGAAAAATATATATTTCAACTGTATTATTATGTGTATGTTACAACATTATCTGCACCATTATCTGTCCACCCCAACTATCCTCCAAAGGTGATGTTGATTGACCTGACCTCTGACCTGGTGACCTCTGGAGTCATTCTGTGTGCATGTTCTGCTATCAATCACTGTTACTGACAGTAGATTTCTTTTATTTACAGCAACAGGAGGAAAAGAAAGAGTCCAGTTGTTTAGTGGCTTAGAGACACACATCACAACTAAAAACAAGTTTAATTACACATTCTTTCTTGTTGCCTTACTACCTACATGGTTATCTTATTCTTACTCACTATTTTCTGATATCAACGGGGTATTCGGAGGATTTTAGTGAATGAATTTTTTATATAGTTAGTATCCAATGCTTAAACTGCTGTTCTGAGTGTGTAAAAGGGATGATGACGACCAAATTTCAGTATGCAAATCACTCTCCATGGTGATGTATCTCGTCATTGCTCAACAAAAGACTTTGCTTTTTCTGTCATACACATATTCTGTCATAAATATTTATAGAATACAATTTCAATGTTGATAAGAAGGGATATTGCAAACAGCCATGCAAGTCTTCTAAATGACTGTCAATCACAGGTTTATTTAAATATAAGTGTTAATTAAAACAGTTAGTAACAATACATCTTTTCAAAGCGGACATTGGCATATTTAAAATATTTGCACAATTACCACTTTCTCTAACATTTGTATACCCCCGTACATAGTAAATGATTACATTTCCTATGATGCAGTGGTGCAATCCCAGGGATCGTTGAGCCAATCTTTAAATTGTGAGTTATCATATCATAGCTGTTCTGGAGTTAACAGCTGGTATAATTGTGTAGTGAATATTAACTTTTTAACAGATCACAAAATCCTTTATATTATCGACTGGAAGTGACTTACTGTTAGTGTGAAATTTTATTTTATCAACTCTAGAGGGCAGTGTTTCACTTAGACGTACTGTAAAGGGGGTAATTATTCACTGGGTTTTAATTTAGCTTATTTCGCTGACTGGAAAATGCGCTAAATTAAAACCCAGTGAATATGTAAAATTTAGCATAGAACACATTATCTAAATGATGAAACCGTGAATTTAAAACTGAATATGCCTGAAATGGTAAATCAGTGAAATTTAAACCCAGTGAAAATTAGTCATTTTACAGTATTTGTAGATGTAGACCTAATAAAGTTAGTTAATATAAAGTCAAAGACATTAGACAACTAGTGTCTTTGGTTAAATGTTGTATAAAGCTGAATTTCAACAAAACATTGTGGCATTAAATGTTATTTCAAATGACACCGGGTTATTATCATTTTACTTTCAATTTATATATGATGTATTGGGGTGGAGAAAAAACCAAACACTTCTATGTTTGCAAAAAACAAAACGAAAAAAATGGTGCAATATTTTTCTGTGAATAGTATTGACAATTTAAAGTCATTACAAAAAACTAATACAATTGTTATTTGTACTGTAATTGGGTGGTGGTAGACATTTACATTAAAAAAAAAAAAGTCTAATGTACCGAAAAATATGTCTTCGCTAGCATTTTTTTTTCCACTAATTTAAAAGAAGTATATTCTCACAATGAGACTATTGATACTTGATAACATTTACTAAAATGGCATGTAGTTATTTCAAAGTGCTTTATGCTTTATTTTAGATACAATACTCGAATGGCTAATTATGGGAGTGTAATTTGAGATTTTTTTAGATTACAACGTTTATCAATACTTATCTGTGTTTTCTCTATTTCCAATAGAGCGTCCCATTGTGGGATTTCACTCAGTCAGTGTATATTATAAACGCCAATTAGTAACATTTCTTACAATAATGTTAACTAATCCAATTTATACATATGAATATCAAAACTACTTTCTAATACAAGTCCGATTTTATAGCATTACTCATATAATCTCTAAGACTTTGCATGTTGGAGATGTTTTCTTTGAGAATTAGTCATTGCATTAACTAAGTACCAGTAGTACTGCCTTGTGAGTAACTTTAAATACTCTGTACTTGCCAACAGAAATTGACAGGGCATGTGGAGGAAATACTTCAAAAGTTGCTACAATTTTACAGTGTAATCTACTACTTATCAAAAAACATTTGTGTGTGAAATTGATATCAGTGTTTTGGAAGGAGTCACATTCTGCATGTTTTACATTTTTAAAGTTTCTTCTGAAAGAAAACATTTTTTCCTGTGAGATTTAAAAGTATGAGGAAAAGTGGATTGGTGGTTCATCGCATCATGGATGTTGCCAACCTAAAGGTCAATCAGCATCACTGTTTGTAGAGGTTGGTAGTAAATCAAAGCCTACAGTATATCTATACAGACATGGATTATCTTTTTCACCAATGGTGGTGTCCTATATGAATTTATGTAAATTATGAATAAAGATTTTATTGAATTTGCAGATCATTGTCCCGCAGTTTCACTAAATCAGGAAATTTGATATCTCAATCTAGTATTGATGATATATCGTCTGTATACTGTCCTGAATCTACAAATGATTTGGGGAACATATGTCACTGGACTTGATATCTCTACTAGATAAGGGGCCATTGCTTGTTAAACCTGGTGCACAAGAAATGCAAGTTGTTCAATTTGAGGGGAGGGTAATTTTGTATGTCAAAATAGCAATACGATCGAAACTATACAAAACATGGCTGCGAGCAAATGTAAAACATTGTACATGCTATAAAAAAGAACCAACTGAAAATGTACGCGAAGATATAGTAGTAAAATCGCAAAATTAAAATGGGATTTTACTTTCCTTTTTAGGGGGGTCTATACCAGTTACGACAGGAGCTTTCTGTGTGTCTTAATATGTTAATGTGAGAGTATCATGGTAAACCACTGCCTCATTACGACACTTCATGAATACACTGCAAGCAAGCTGTAGTAAAATGCACAGTACGTGTACAAAGTAAAGTAGTGTTACATGGAACCCGTCCACTTGCAGTACTGGTTTCTAGTGGCCTTTCATTTATTCCAAAACAAATGCGTATGGGTCATTTGCTTTCATGGCATTTACTCATGACTTTCAAATCATGGTATTTTTTTCAGGGTATGTTGACTCAAAGCATATATTCTGTCAACAAATAAGGTGCTTTCTGATTGGTTTGCTGAGTAGCCAATTACACACAGTCTTGTGAGTAGCTTCGCAATGACAACGTTTTCAGTGTTGCAGAGGAGATTCTCTTGCATGCAAGACTACCTCAGAGTAACGTGTGCTAAGATCCAAGGCTTTGGCAAACCATATGTAGAAAATAAGACGCAAATGAATTCATATTTACATAATTGTGCTTGGTTAAATTGACTTGCTCTCTCTCAACTACAAAAAAATACATGCATGATCTTCACTGATTTGAGAATACTTGCAATATCTTATCTGCCAATTTAGTGCAAGGAGATCCATCCAGGGGAGTTTCATGCACAGACGATTTCATCACCAACATGGCTTAGGTATGATATTATTACTGTAACTTTTCAGAGACATGCTGGTAAAACTGAATACACTCAATTCAAACCACGTGTTTAAATTATACATATAATTAAAGAAGCAACGTGTATAAATAAAAAATGTCTGATAATACATATTAAAGGTATGATTTATTATAAATTATACCAGTATTATGAATACATTATTGTGATTGGACGACACCCTATTTTAACAAGTCATTGTCAATGACACGTCCCCGTTCCGTTCATATTTGAGTGACATATACATTCAAAGCAGATCATGACCGAAATGCACCTGCATATGTACAACACATTGTGCTAAATCTGAACAAAATCCATCCATGCATGACTGAGATCCGGTTCTGGAATTGTGAAAATATGTGATTTTGATGCATTTTCGGCCTTAAAATGGCCATCATTCCACTATTGTTAAGCAGATCATGAAACAAATGCACATATCTATTTGTGACATGATGTATCATGTGTGTGTGAAGTTTGAACTTGATCAATCCAGACATGTCTTGGATACGGATCCAGAACTGAATTCTTTACAAA